GGCGGGGGAGGCGAACAGCACGAACGGCCTCGCTCCCGGCTGCAGGGTTCATCCCGTTACCCGGGCGCCGACTCGTCACCCACAGAAAGGCCCCCTCACCAGACACCAAAACCCTCAGGGGCAGAGGGGAAGCCTCCGCGCAGCTGTTGCCGGGACCAGAAGCCGGGCCCGCCGTCCACGAGGCTCTGCCTTACAAAACCCACCAAGTAACAGTCACCCCATCACCCGTGAGCGCTAAAGCCAGTGCGCAGAGTTGACGGAGTTTAGCATCAAAACATCTCCCAAATTACAAAGGGGAACAGGGCAATTTCAGGGGAGACGCCTGATGCACCGTAACCCAGCTGCTCAAAGTAACCGCTGAAAGTGGGACACGGTGACCTTCTGTGCCTCTCAGCGTGACGCCGAGAACACAGCATCCTCTGCGGTTCCACAGAAAGCTACAGGACACTGGAACATCAGAGCCAGGCTACAGAACGAGCCAACGCTCTTCAAAAACGTCAGTGAAAAGGGACATGAAATCCCAATGCAATTCTGGGTTGGATCCTCCAGCACTAGGGGAAAAAAAAAACCCAAAAACTGTATTAAAAGGTATTAGGAAAACCTGATTATGGACTATATAGTATTGAATCAATGTTAAACTTACAAATTTTGGTTAGTCTGTGGTCACATAAAAGAACAGACACTAAAAATGCTTGGGGCAAAAGGACACGTGTATATACACAATTTCCTGACCCACTAAGAATCAGAAAAAAAAGTATATACAAAGAAAATAAAAAGCGCCTGGGGCAAAATGTAATTAATTGGTAGATCTAGGTAGAACATTCGGAAGTTCCTTTATACTCTTTTTGCAACTCTTCCAAATTTGAAATTACAAGGTATTTTTAGAATGTTTGCTGCACCTGACAAGGACAGCCAGACCCACCCGGGCTCCACTTCTTCAGAGATCCACACACATGCCCAGCACAAAACACCCAGATCAGCACCAGCAGTACAAAGCAGACCAGTGTGCAGAACACAAAAACCAAGCAGTTCCATCTCCCACTACTCAAGGCACCAGCCCAGCCCTCCCCCCACACACAGTTGGACCCACAGCCTCAGCAGATCCTCAGGTCAGAGCCACACCCAGATCCAGCCTGTGAGCTCTCCCTTCCTTGGTAAAGAATTCCTGCCCGTGGCTCCACCAGCGCCCAATCCCACAGATAACACAAGCAAGGTTTTCCATGGTTTATTGATAATATTAAGCAGAAAGATTCAAACGGCTCCACGTGGTGTTTTGAAATTCATCCCGACTGTAGGCTGAGTGACCTGCAGGTTGGACAGGCTGCCAAAGTCCTGGAACAACAAAACGGGTTCAGTGCGGCCACACCAGCGAGATCTGTGGTCAGCTCCAGGACCACCACTGAGCCCTGCTTGTCAGCCTCCTCCAGCTCAGCGTCAAGCTGGTGGGAACCCAAAGAAACACAACAAAGGGCCTTTTCCTCCCCACTGCAGAGTAATAAGCTTACAGGGGGTTTACTTGAGATCAAGGACCCTGCACTCCCCAGGAGGCTTTTAGGGAGCTGCCCTGTGCGTGGTAGGATGCTTAGCAGCACCCCTGCCCTCTATCCACTAGAGTGTGCTAGGATCCCCCAGCTGTGACAACCAAAACAATGTGTCCAGACATTACCAAATGTCCCAGGGTAGGGGTGGGGTTGGTGGCATCTCTCCCTTTGAGAGTCATCACTCTAGACAATCACACAGTCCCACTGCCTTTCCAGGACCAGCCTCAGGAAGGCTGCCTCACGAATGGCAGGCGATCAACAGTCAACTATGTAGAAAGTACTAAGATAAGCCACAGGCGAGGCACAGATCGACCTCTACTGACAACAGCTGAGCTATCTGGGTAGCGCTCCGTAAAAGCACAGCTCACTTGTCGATCTCATACAGAGAACAAAGAAGTCAGCAGTTGGAGGGGAGCATCTGTGATACTTTCAACAATAAAGATAAATTAAAAAAAAAAAAAGAGGGCATGAACCCCAAGGGAAAGCCCACAGAATGAGAGAACCAGGGCCAGAACCACAGGAGCGACAGAGAGGAGCCAGCCACAGAACCAAGGAAGAAAGGGGTGCATGGGGAACGGAGGAAAACGCCTGGCTTTATGCCACCCAGGCAGGGGCGCCCGGGGAGGCCTCCGTCAGGAACTGGGCACATGCTTACCAAGAGCTTCAGCATTTCCTTCGTGTCCGGATCAACTTCGATGATCTCCTGATCCAGGGCTGAGACCTGGAAGGAACAGGAACGCCCAAAAATATCAACCGAGGGGTTCCCTTTCCCCGCCCCAAACTTCCCCAATACTCTTAGAAAAGCAAAAGAGGAGGGGCACCCGCAAGGGACATAGGATAGGATCCCACCAGGGGAGCGGTGGGCTTGAGGGATTACAGGCCCCAAAGATCAGTTCTTCTGGTTTGACCTTTGCATCACCACTTATGGGGGTTCAAAAAACAAACCTTAAGACTACTGACATTTCAGGAATGCTGACACCGCGAGGCAGGCAAACGTAATCAACGGCCCCCCACAACGGGGCACGGCCGACGCTGCACACGCAGGCAGGCAGGCCTGTGGGCACCTAGGGCTGGGGGACGGGGGACGCGCGGGTAGGTGGGCCAAGGAGCGCCTTTCTCCACCTGGCCTGGGGCCTCTTTAGAAGCCGGGCACCTGGAGGGCTGGGCGGGGAGCCCAGAGGCCCGGAGGAAAAGCTCACCTCGGGGACGTAGTTGTCCCGCCTCTCCCGCTCCTCTTCCTGCAGCTTGATAGAGATGCCTCTCACGGGGCCTCGCTGAATGCGCTTCATCAGGTGCGTGACGTACCTGGAGCAGCAGAGCGCGCAAGACGCATTCACACTCACACACGGGGGCGGCACCTTTGGGTCCTCCTTCTCCACGCTGAGATGGGAGAGGTCGGACGCGCCACCCTCCGGAGCCCTGCCTCTCGACACACCCACCTGAGCGCGCACCTGTGAGCGCGCACCCGTGAGCACGCACCTGGCCGCCACCCCGCACGCCCGAGTCCTGCCCGCAGCCGGCCGGTCCCCAACGCAGCGCCCGTACGATGACCAGCAGGTCTCCGGCGGGGGGGTCCAGGCGTGGCCCAGGTGTCGCCGCCAGGTAAGGACGCCCCCGACCGGACCCGGGTCGCGACGCCTGCAGCGCCCTCCGGCGGCGCATCGGGGAGGGAGGCTCGCGCCGGGGGAGACCCTCAGGACACGGCCCCGGGGGCCAC